GAGGTCTTACGTTTATCACCATGGCAGACCTAAAACCCCACTCGGGTTTGGGGCACTGCTTCAAGAGCCCAACATATCACTTGAGCACTCACTCCATGAAGATTCCCTAGAGGATGTGGGGCAAACTTTCAAAGGTACCCTCGCAAACACGGAGTTCGACAACCCCCTAGTTTGCACCAGTTTGCTCCAGCCTTGTTTCAGGCTCCATGTTTGTGTTTTCGGGAGGGTTTGTTGGAGGCGTTTGCCAAATTTAGGAGCGGGCGGCAGAATGGTTTCCAACATCCGAGAGCGGCTGCGGTTTTCGCTGAGGTATGCCTCAGCGTCAACAACCGGGAGGCAGTGCGCGTGGACAAAAAAAGCCTTTTGGGGCAAGCCTTTGGCTTTAGCCAGGGCTTTGTTTTTGCTTTTGGACCGCTTTTTAGCCCTGACTTCTCAGCCGCAATTTCAGTGAGCGGTTCCTTTTGGGAGCCATGGGGAAGCCTGAGCCTTCTGGGTCTCTGGGTCCAGAAGGCAGAGGACCGGGGCCGTGGCTCCCTTTAAACCAGCCATGTAGCTCTGGCAGTGAGGAGGTCGCTTTGATGGACCCAGAATCCAGGAGAGACATTAGGGCACCCTAACCCCCCCCCTGCCAAAAAGAAAAACCCTTCTAAGAACCGAGCTGAGGTTCTAAGAGTTTTCCTACGGGGTGGGGGGCTCCTTATCATGTTTAGAACACTGGGCTCCAAGCTTGTGCACTATGTGAGTCACAATCAACACCTTCCGGGGAGCCTGCGCAACACCTATGGAAAAGACTCAAAGGGCGGCTTTTGCACTAGGCGACTCTAACCTTGATCTACCTGTTCTTTTTTGATGGTGGCCTTTTTGGGGGGGCATTCACCCATTTTGGGGGGTTCCTCATATCAGTCGTTTGGTTTCCCAGGGAACAAAGGCAGCGGGGTCTTTAACTTGGACACATTAGTCTGGTTGGGCAGTGTCCAAAGACACAACCGCGAAGGCCAACTGATGTATACTCGTTGCACACGTTACGATGATCTCACCTTGGCCTAGAACGAGCTTGGGCTATGAAACGCTCCGAAGACATGTGCTTGTGGTTTTCAGAGCATCGATCCCCCGCTTCGCTGGGCCAGCCTCGCCGATCGAGGCATCCCAGGGAAAGCATCTCTCAGCAGCAGCCCTCAAGGAGGCGCTGGGGTTGGTGGGAAGGATTTGAAGGCTTTCGATTGAATTCCTCTTGGAGGGGATCCCTGAACAGCCTGTGAGATCCGTTTGGTGTTCCCGTCCAGGAAGTGATGAACAAAGGGGCCCACACGTCTTGCAAGTGGAGATGTGGGCATTTGCTTTTTGGGCTCCTGAGCACGCCCGGAATCGCGCCAGGGCAGCAACGTCGGGCTCCTGATCAAGCCAGAAGCGTTTGAGGCCATACACTGCGAAGATCATATATGCCTGGACCTTCCATTGTTACATAAATTTGTGTCACGAACACAAACAACGAGAAACTAAAAACATGCTCGGGACAACATTTTTCGCCCAATGATCCAAAAGCGCTCGTTCCCCCCCCCCCCAAAAAAAAAAAAAGAAGCTCGTTTCATGAACACAGGCTTCTTGCAAAACATCAGTTGTTTGTTGCATGATTCGGATTTGCGCTCGTTTTGCAGGTATTTGTGCTCGTTCGGCGGGCATGTTTCCACATTTTCCACGAAAGCAGACTATATGAGAAGAGAGAAACCGCCGCAATAGCCACACATGCTCGAATTCAAATGTGCGCCCGTTCCGCCGAGAAACGCGCGATTAGCAAATTGACGCTATGAAGCACCCAAAGGACACAAACTTATGAAACGAATGGAGGTCCAGGTGTTGGTGCTTTTTGTTGAGGGTGGCTCTTTTTGGGGCTGATTTTAAAAGGACACCACAAATAAACAACACCAATTTTGGGGCTCCCCTATGTGGAGACAAACCCATAATGTGACACTCCGAGTGATACATGTATGTTTTCACATCGGCTTGCTGTCGCTTCCAGATTTATATCGACGGCATCCTCCGAGAGACCCTCGCAGTGCAAGCGGAGGATACATGCCTCCGCCATGACTTGCTGGACTTGCTCGTTGCAAGGCCTTACGTGTACCTGTGTAATAGGAACCCAGCATTATAGCAACCCGCTGGTTGATGTTCTTCTTGTTCTTTTTTGCGGGCGGGGGGGGGGGGGGGGGGCGGGGTTGGGGATTTGACGCCCCAATCAATATGCCAGGCTGATTGCTGCGGGGTCGACGGTAGGAAACTGTTGCAAGGCTTGTGCACGTGCCTGAGCAGGAAACTGCACAGCTGCCTTTGGCCCCTGAGTTGTGAACTGTCAGGCTGTCAACAAGTCTGGCCGCGGCATCCCAAAAAGGCCTGAAGATTTGGCCAACCTTGTCAATGTCCCCTGCACTCCTTGAACTTACCCACTACCCCGATTCATCTATCAGAGATCAGGGGGGTCCCTGTGTCAGGAATCAGGAGGGTCCCTGTGTCCAGTGGAACTGGGACCCCTAAAAACAACATGTTGAATGTTGGTGTATTCATCAGGGGGAAATGATACCTGAGCTATGGCTGCAGGACAATTTGCCGGGGCAAATTCGATGTATGAGAGGCCTTAACGTTTCGAGGGACATGTGGTTAACTCACAAAGGTTCAACCCACCCTAAATTTCTCCGGGTCCACAAGCTGTGTGGTGTGTGCACCAACGCATGTTTGGTGGGAGGGCATCAATAAACCGCGGCTTGGATTGGGGATGCTTTCCTCACAAGTCCTCTCCCGTGGGTGCAGCCCGATTTCAGGAGCGCGTGCCAGCCAATGTCGGGCTGTTCCCGGTTTTGGACTTGCAGGGGCTCCCAGCTTTTAGCTTTTTAAGCAAACCGAGAGAATCAGATGAGCCAAGCATCGAAACGGAAGAGGTAGAGGAATCTGCCTTGCCGTTTGGTCAAGCAAGTGCTTTGTGGTTTGTGGTGCATTTGTCTAGGGTCGGGACATGTGGGACGAACCTCTGAATTCTAACCACAAGCTGGACGAGCCCTAGTTGATCCATGCCCAAGAGGGTACTACTCGTACAAGTTTAGATTGTTGCCCAGGCACGTCAAACATCCAAATCGCAGAGATAGATGAGGGGATGAATTCGGCATTGGGAATAGTCCCCTTGCCGGAAAAGGGTGCAGCTTTCCGCCCGTTTTATTGCTTACATGGAGTTGGGTCGCCTCCCTGAAAGCCATGTGTTGATGATGACTCTGATCCGCCCTGGGGGTTTAGTGCCCAGCCTGAGGGTTGACCTTTGGCTTCATATTGGCCAATAATATGTTGACACTGGGAGGGTCGGTCAGGCGTGCTCAGGCTATGATGTTCAAGTCCTGGTATTTGAAGGGACCACAAAAGAGTTGCCCTTCTTCAAAAAGACATCCAAGAACATCCGGCAGCGTCCTTTCTGCCCAAATGATATCGCGCTACTGTTGGTTTGTCTCAAAATTAGGGGACCAAAAACGGATGGTTTTCTCTGTAGTTGCCTAAGCAACCCCCAACATAATGCCCTCAAACAATGCACTACAGAGCAAATTTTCTCTGGAAATCTTGATCTTGCCTCCAATCTCAGCCTCCAGGTACGGTCGGACCATCCAAATCTCAAAGACCGACGCAGAGGCAGCTGTGGGAAATGGCCGGGACCTTGCGGAAATGAGGTCCATTCAACATCCCTTTGGGTTTTAATTACAAACCCATTGGACATGGGTGTTTGTATAGAAACTCAATGCGCTTCTAGAAACCCAATGCACACTCTCAAGAACATGCCCTCTTTTTCCTTGCTGACCACGACCCCCTTCATTCCCTATGATAATGTATTATGCCGCCTTCTTTCGAACCTATTTGCAAGTTGGAAACTATTTGCAAGTTGCAAGGTTCGATCGGTGTTTTGCAAAAGCATCCGGATCCCAGTTCCCAAAAGCCCCCGAGAAGTCGACTCGCGTTGCCAGGAGCCATGAGACATCGAGCTCCCGGACCTCCAGGTTGCTTCCGAAGGTTCCCTGTGTGAATTATGGACCGACCGACCTCACACCGAAACCAAACCCCAAAGGGTGGTTTATGTGGGGAAAGTCCACCCACCTTGTTTCGGGTTGGTGAATAGAATTCACCCAGGTAACATCAACTGCCAAGATTTGGGTGCCCCCTTCCCCATGGCCACTGGAGGTCTGGGTAGAGAGCACACGCAGTTTCCAGCATGTGAGGCCTTGCAGCAAGAGACTGCGTTGCGGAACATTTGAAGGATTTTAAAAATTTGCGTGGCTTCCGCTGCTACGCTCCCTTCACAACGCACACGTCCGGGCTGCCTTTAGCATTCCACCGGACCAGTTTCACCAAGTTTCAGGCCGATTCAAACTAAGCACCCAACACAATTTATTGGTCTCAGGCCGTTTGCTGTCACAGGTGATCTTGTCATGATCCGTCACGTTCAAATGTCATGTGTTTTGTGGTCGACTTGGTACTGCGGAGGTGACACCGAGCCTAGGCAAAACTTGAGCTCGGTGCATGCGCTGTTCGCCGCATGTTCCCAGATCGGCCTGATCTAAAGTTTTGAGCAAGCTTGGCGCTGCTTCGGATGACTTTTAAGGAGCCCCGCTGCTGACTCGTTCGTGTGGCAGTGTGGGCTGGCTGAGTTCTCAGTGCTTGGCTGTGAGGGGCGGTGCACCAAAATGTTCCAGCTAAAGCTGCTTCATTAAAGCGACTTGAAATATCTCAAAACGGCGCGTGTTCCGATATCTGCAGTACCGCCCCGGAAAAGGAATTTGACAGGGCGCGCCACGTCCAGTTTTGCAAGTGCCAAGTTTCAATGGCTCCTGGGCCTGCGCCGGTTTATTTCCTTGAGTCAGTTATACTGCATATATATATATATGTGTAATATATGTACACATAAATGTATATTAGTATTATACATATAACAATATTTGTGTGTACATCTAACATGTATTGATAAACGCATGCATAATATGCACATGCCCATAAATGTTCAGATGTACATGTGTGTTTTGATCCTCAACTATTTCTGGAACCCCGCTCGGCCTTTACTTTGAGCTCATTCACTCGTTTGTGCGTTGTGTTTGTGTGCATCAGTTTACGGTTTGTGGGGCAAATATGTGTTTGTTTCCTGCCTCGATAAATTTGTGTTCCATCCAAACTGCTGCCACGTAGAGCTGGCATCATACCAATACATGCTTTGTCACTACAACTCGGGTTGGCTTTTCAAAATACAGGGTCGATGGAGTCGATGGTAGATACATCTGCACGTTGTAAGGCTCGGGGTTAAACAATGCGTAGGCGCTTTACTTGAGAGATCCGAAACTCATTTCAGGTTTTGGAATAATATTGCAGATATTCACAGTTCATTGCCAGAGAGGACGTGTGAGCGTTCCGTCAGGAGTCGCAAAGCCTTTGTTCATTTTCCAAGCTTTAGACTTTTGTCGCGTGACTTTTTCATGTTAGAGGCCAGGAAGATGATCTCCTTTTAGTCGACTCAGGTTAGAAACCAGGGGCTGCTTTCGGTTTCAAGGCCGAAGGCATCAAATCCTCGCGACCAGCTGGCAATGCTGGCGGGTGAATTCGGCCAGGTCAGCCTGGGTTGACTCGGATCGGGTTCAAAGATTCTTCACCAGACCTTTGGACCATACCCCGTAAGTTGTTTTTTTTGCTTTGGGGTCTGGTCCCAGGGATGGGGGGAGTCTTTGAATGTAAGCCCGCGCAAACTTCACAGGTCTCTGAAGAGCCCATGATTTTATGTTCCTTGCAAGGAAACCAAAAGGGGATGAGTGGTTCAGACCCATTTCTTGTTTGATGCGTTTCATCCGGAAAAGCAAAAGTCTGGAAACCAAAAGGAAACCAATATATGTGTCCATTTTGTCAGACATGACTCTACGTTTCAGTGAATCATCAGAATCAAAAGATGACATTCTATAAGCTGCACTAGCTAGTCACGTAAAAATGCAACATTTTTTTCTGAACTGACTCTATATGTTTTAGTTCAGAATCAAGCTTATGGGTGATTCTCAAAACAGGGGTACCCTACAATTGTTGGTTTCCTCTTGGTTCCCTGAAACATCAACCAAGAGGGATCCACCATTTGGAGACACACACGCAGACCCTTCCAACGTGCAGAAACATCCGTATCGTTTTGGCTGGGGCCTATTAGCTGTGGAAGTGTGGCTTGCGACCTGATCACTTTCCAGGGCCGAGCAGGGCCACGACCTGCACGCATAGCTTCCAAAGACACAAAGACCAGGAAGAAATGGAGCGAGGTGTGTGGGTTCGCAAGACCCTTGCCCCTTTCGAAGGGGAACCAAGAGGAGGTGGTTTAGACAACTCCTGCACCTTCCCACTCTCTCTAGGGATCCGCTTTCTTCCAAAAATGGGTCAACCCCGTGGAAGTATCTCTGGTTTCCATACAGAAGAGGTACTGATAATGGGAAATCAACCCTTAGAACAACAGGTGCCAACCCGGCCTGAGCGACAGCCATCACCTCCTGATCCTCTTCCTTTTTGTCCTCGTCCTTCTTGTTTTGCAAGATTTTGAGGGGTTGCAAAAGGAATCCGACAATGCTGGATGGACCTACTCCAAAACTGGACCCCTGCATTGATGTAGAGGCTTAGAGGCGCGCATAATACGGTCATTTGGGGTCGAACGTGGGGACTGTCTCAATTCCCAACCGAAAGAGGACCGACGATTGCCCTTTTGGGATGGCTTGAACATGACTCTTTGGGTGATATTCACCTACCAAGACAGTGGCTTGATCACTGGCACCCGCCAAAGTGACTCTGGAGGCACCCTGAACATCATAGGGGAAGCTGAACATCATTGGTACCATCGAGACAACGGCGAGCTACGGAATTTGTCCAAGTAAGATCAAGGGTTTCCAAGAGAACCCCTCACGCTCAAACACATAGTAGGTCAGGAGAAAGTGTCTTAGCAGCAGCACTCGCATTTCATGTTCATGATGTCAATGCCTTTTGGCCATTGAAACACTCGGAGCTTTGGTAATCTTCACTGTGAAGATTTATGGATGCCTTTCTATAAACAAACGTTGTTTGGGCCTGCAACTGCCGGGAAAAGGAGCAACAAGGAGCACGGGCATCGATTTGTTGCGGACCGAACATTGCCATGAGACCTCGTCAGAGGCTACTTCTCTCTGTCGATCCCCCTTAGGTGCTGTGAGAGAGTACCCTGCAAAACGGATGAGTGGAGACTTTGATGCTATAAAGTCCACAACGGCCTGTAATAAGTCTTGCATTTCCAGAGAGATACTGTACAGAAATACTCTAAAAGAAAGCCATATCACATCAATACACATGAGCAGATCGATCAACACATAATGAAAACCACAATTCAGACCTCAACTAATAAATCAGCTTGCCAATTGAAGTTGATTCACAAACAACACCCTACAACAGCGAGCTGCCATGAGATGCAATGGCTCAGAGTGCTCCCATCTCCACGTTTGGGAAGCATAAAGGGAAGAGCTTCGAGCCCCTTTGAGGCAAATTAGCTACCGTCCGCCCGCAACATGAGGATCGTGTTTTGGCTTCTGGGTTTGCCGCGCGCTTGGCCGAGCATGCCCGACAAGGCTCGGCGGGTGGGGAGCCCGAGAAAACTGAAATTACCGCCGCTTTGGGTAACTTCCCGTTTGTCTTTTGTCTTCTATTTTTTGTGGCGGGGGGGGGGGGGTGGAAAAAATGGTTGTTGTGCATTCATGTGGTCCTGATTCCTGTTTCTTGTGTGGGGGGGGGGCAGGGGGATGGTGGAAAATTGTGTTGTTTATGCATCTGCCCGTGGTGGCTTCAAATGCAAACAAAGCATGGGTTGTTCAAGCGGCACCCTAAGCAGCGGCAAAATAATTGCCGTGTTTTGAGGGGGACAACTCCAACCACCAACAGAATCTGGGGAATTCACACTTGTAGATAGCATTGGCCGGACTCCTTTCATCTCGGGTTTGAGTCCTAGTTCAGACGTTCCAAAATATAGTTTTAGTAGCAAATATTGGTTTCACCTGGATCGCCAGTTGCTTTTTCCAAGCTACTCTGATTGTGGTGTTCGATAGTCAACTTTGACATCTTGCGCAGGAGCGATCGCGGTCTCCTAGCAGGGGCAGCTTGGCACACAAATGTTCCGAACATATCCCACGGCGTTTCTTGAGTGGAGCTCTGAGGCTTTTGTTTCGAGGCTCACGGCCTCACTCTGCGAGTTTCTGGACTTTAATCACTTTTTGGGTCTGGACCATAGTGGTAAACCAAAGGTTCGGACAATGGGAGTCCACCCGGGAAAGACACACAAGGGTAGGTTGGTTCGGTTGCCTTTGGTTTCCAGGGCCAAATGAGCCTTCCAGGGTAAGTCGGGCTTTAGTTGCTGATTTCTGTGCAAAAAAAGAGAGCCCGAATCAAGCCTAACCCAACTCTACAACAGTACCCCAATCCACAGGTAGGAGATGAAGTCCTCAGAGTTTGCCGGCAGCTCAAGCGGTCCTCAGAGTTTGCCGGCAGCTCAAGCGGGCTCCAGGTGGAACCGCCGAATCTGCGAGGCATGCAGTCAAATCAGCAGAAACACAATGAAGCCATGCCGCACTTGGATTGTTAGTGCTTCTCCCTCGTTTTGCATTTCGTATAAGTGAACCATCTTGTATCCTTGCGGTCCAACTACAATACTTCATGACTATCACGAAAGTCTTTGGCACTGCACAGCCAGCTACTCTGCGCTTCGGACGGAAACCACACGGCATTGAAGGTCTGCCGCGGCGAAGCGGAGGCCGCAGCTGAAGAAGCTGAATGCCCTCCGTTGCGCCTGGACGCAAGGGCAGCAAATGGCAAGTGTCACCTCATGGTGCAAAGTGAAGACTTGCTGCATGCCTTCAATGTGGTCCATGAGGTGACATGCATCCGGACAGAGGCTCCGAAGCTTCTCGGCCGCGACGAAGCCATTGCTTGCACCGCCGCTTGGGATGAACCTGGCATGTAGCCGACCAGCACCAGAGCGCCCCAGTGGTTGGAATGCAATTTGATGCGACCATGGAGGAAGGCCTTGCGACCCGAATCCCTGTTCTCTCTTCACTGCCTACGAAACCATCGTGTGCGGCGCATGCGGGAAGGAGGTGCTGTACGGATGCCGCTATGCCGCTGCCAGATGCGGGCGGGGTAGCTTCATGCTTCATGGTGGCACGCCAAACGTGACATGACACCATCAGACAGGCGTTGGAGCCATTCACCCCCCGTGCACGGCCCAAAAGACTATGAGGGCTTGCGCTCGGTCGAGGGTCCGTGCGTCCTTTTGGGCATCGCATGCGGGGTTGCACAGAAGCTTGCCAAATACGTGAATCCCGATGCATTGAATGTCTTTGTTCACTGGAAAAACTACAAGTTGGGCGGAAGGCTGTCAGTCGCTCGTGTCCTTCCGAAAGACATGGCCTCCCTGAATCACTGCAGATTGGGCGAGGAGAGGACCTTGACTTAAGGAAGGACATGGTGCGGGAACATGCCCTGCTCCCAGTGCCTGCCACAGCCAATGCCCGCAGTGCTCGCTTCAGGAAGCCCTAGAAGCTGGTGGTTGAGCCGTCTTGAGCCCACGCCAGTGACCGGTGCCGGAACTGCTAGATGTTCAAGAAAGGTGCTGGCATGGGCTGGCGGCTTCGGATGTATACCAAGGGAATCCCGGGTAATTGTGAAGTGATAAAGTATAGGGATCCATCATTTTTAGCATCACACAGCTTACTTCCCACAGCCACAAGACGCATATTATTGTGACTCACGGCCTTCTTGAAGGAAATTCCAACTTAAATGGTGCCTGCAACCCTTGTCTACCATGTTGGGCAACTCCCTCCAAAAATGGCGCGGTTTTGCTTTTGGCTTGTCTTTCAAACGCGCTCAGAATGGTGGAACTCGCCTTTGATGCCTACTCGCTTTTTCCTGGGCCCGGCATGCGGGGGTTGATCAATATTCCTGGCTCCAAACTGACCGTGGGTAACTTTTCCCATGTGGGAAATATCATTTGTTTGGTGGTTTCCCGAATGGTCACCCCATGTAAAGGACACTTTGATCAGCCCCCATGCACGAAATCCCAGGCAAGCTGCGGATCTCCCCGCTGAAGGGCCGCTTTGGCGCCTTGGTCGAGTCGGACCTCTCAGTGGAGAGGACGGGCGCAGGAAGTTGGAACTTGGGGCATGGAACCCTACGTGGTTTGGCTCGCAGGAACGCTTTCCATCCAGGAACTCGCTGCTTCGATTTTTTTGGCGGCCTTTTCAGTAGAGTGAGCCCAAGTGGAACTATGATTTCTGGTTTATATGGGGTCATTGCCCGAGGAATCGCCGCGTTTTTTTGTACGGTGGAGGGGTCTTAGCAAGGGTGTGTGAGGGGAGGCCTTGCACATGTCGATTCCTTGCCCCTGAATTTGTATGGGAGTTTTGTCATACGGAATTCCCAGTTGCTCAGTGGCCCCGTCTGACAGAGTCTGACTCCCTTTTTTGTTTTGTGGCTAGGTATCCCAGCAGTGCCCGTTTACCCTTTTTTTGGGGAGGGTTCCCCTGCTAAAATAGACTACCAAAAAAAGGAACCGTTATTATAACTCTACTGGAGGACCTAGGTGGGTTTCTATCAACAATGGTCAACCCCCAGGTTCCAATTCACCCGAACGGGCTGGGCAACTGGGAGGATTCTCGACGGAGAACTGGGGCCGGAGCTCGTCAAGGCATGGCAGGAGATGTCGGAATTCCGGGGAGAAATCGGCATGAGCCTGGGGTCATTATTTTGATTGTTTCTAGAAGTTGTCAAAGTCAGAAAATGGGGTTGTTTCCCTTTAACCCATCACTTAGGGATCATGGTAAATTAGGCCAGTGAGCCTGGCAAACAAATCCGGAGCCAGCTGAAATCGGGGCCTCGAGCACCAAATATGTCATATTTCAAGCTTGGCTAAGTATGACGCAGAATCTGAAAATACTAGTGTACCTGGTTGCCACCTCTTTCCCTACATAATTTCAATTATTCGAGTGATCATTTTGCGAGACTCGTTCGCAAAGTAACTTGTTGGGGTCGGAAAGCCCCTTTCGAGCACTATTCAACTTATTTTTGAGGATCTGTGTTTTCCATGGACCCGGCAATCCCAAGCATAGGTGTTCCCGCGTGAGCGACTGGTTGAACATTGGGTGGAGTTTACTCCTTTCAGTTTAGTTCCAAGCGTTTGCCTGGGATGTCTATTCTTCCGACACAGGGTTGTGGGAAAGAAAGGTTGGCTCCCACTTCACTGTGATAGCAAAGAACCTCCCCTTCAATGGAGACCCAGCTATTTGGAAGCTTTGCATTGGTATCACAGACGTGGGCAACTCCTCACAAACCTGTTCCGAAAGGACACCCAGAATCTCAAGTGCTTCAAAGATGTTCAATGAGGTCACAGTCACCATGAGGGTCGACAAATGACGAGCCCCCAAAAGAGTGTCCCAACCCCCTATACGGGCGCCAACAAACGTGCACCCGAAAACCTGAGTGGGGTAAAGGGGGGCCCCTACTCTGGCAAGGCCAGCAAGAGGCAACACAGTGCCAATCTGCCTATTTTATGGCAAGCTCACGGATCCGGGGTAGAACAAGCCCCTCATGATGTAGATCCTTTACTTGGGGATTAAGTTCTTATTCAGGGTTTTGAACTTATTGTTCTAAGAAACCAGTAACCAGCTAGGACATTCTGCGGGAAATCCTTGTTTTTGGTGGGTGTTTGAAAGTTTTCTGTAGGAATTCCTGCTGGTTTCTATGAGTTCTTCATTTTGCAAACCGGTCGGAAGGACTTCGGAGGCCTGTTGGTGATGAGGGGCCTGACGACGATGACCGCTGCAAAGCTGGCCGAGATCAGTGCTCTCTTCGGCGAGGCTGTGGCCGGGTTTGGTTTGGAGGGGCCAATTTCATGGCACTGCACGAACTTCTGTTTTTGTGTCTTTGTTGGAGGAGTTCCAATCAAAAGCTTTGCTACTAACAACAAGTGCATCCTCTTCTCCATGCACACCATTCTGGCCAACCCAGTTCATCCCATTGCCTAGGAATTCTACATACCGTCTCGACTTATCTTGAAGTGTGTCTCCTTTCCGCTCAGCAACAGGTCAACTTGTTTGCAGGTTGTTGAGGCATTGAAAACAAACTTGGCGAGAGGTGGAGAACGAGATCGATGACAGCAAGAAGTCGTCCAGGGCTCGAGTAGTGACTAGTGGGGAGATGGGTGCCCTGGGCCGAAGTGGCAATCAAATGATCTTTGAACAGTAACAAGGGTAAAATGCGGGCATTTGTTTAAGAACTCCTTTTGTACAATCATGGTGAGAAGACTGGAGGTGAGTCTGCTCATAACTCTGCAATGTTCGAAGAATCGTGTGAACATGGCAGAATCATTCCAAAGATTCCAATTTGAGAGAATTCCCCTTCACGATTACGGAACTCGGATCTCCTTTACTCTACCACTGTCTTCAAGCCCCCAGTCCAAGGAGACAGGAGGATCTCTACAAATTTCATGGCACCAACATACTTTGATCCAGGTTCGCCGTGGACGGAGATCTACGGGCACGGTCCTGAGCGGGGCCTTTGGTGGAAAACGCCTCCTTTCGATGTTCCTGAGAATAGATGTTGAAAATCCAGGCCTTCCAAGGCAAACATAGCCTTTTGGGTTGACATCATTCCCTTTAAACCGTTGTTTTGAGTAGAGGGTAGAAACCCGACCCTTCGTTGAAAAGGTCCCTTGTTTTCCTGCATGGGGTTGTTTAACTCAGCTCACATTTGGACGTTAGTGTTTCAAGCGATTTGCGACACACGACACGTTGACAACTTAGCAAGGGATCAACAAATCACCGAGTTACAGTTAGCAGAAACTAACCTATAAGCAAGTCCCTCCCCCAGGTTCGAGAGCCTAATCGAAGGCTCCGGAAGCATTTTTATGGGTTTGGTGGAAAGTGGGGCAGGTTTGCACCAATGTTCAAGCCTGCTTTTCGAAACCTCGTGTTTTTTTTGCAACCTTCTTTTGGTTGCTCTTAGTTTGCGCTCGGTTGTAAGAAGCAACAACTCTGGGATTGGGGAGCGTGTTTGGTTTTCCCGAAGGTGGCTTCAGCTTTCCGGACCAGCTTTCCGATTCCCGGAGGTTCCGGGGTCCCAGGTTTCGCATCGGCTCGAGGTGATGCGCATCGGCAACACCCGGGACCCTGTCACAAAGGAGGCCAGATCGGTCGGTAGGCGGGCAGTTCTCTTGGTGAGTCGAGGGCATGGCTAAATCAATTGGCAGAGCTGTGCCAACTTTCAGCCAACTGTTGGCTTTAGGGCAACTTGCTGTGAGAAGGGAACCCTGTTCTATGGAGTGATTTGAAGTAGTCTTGGACGCAGCATTCTCACTATACGGTATCACAGGTTTTGGCTTGATTTCCACAGCCATGCGCCAGGTTGGTAGCTGGCACTCGTCCCTGCACCTCATTCCCAGAATGTCCGCAGAGCACTGCGAGGTCTACTTTGACAATTGCTAGCCCTTGAACCATGATCTATGTGACCATGGGTAAAGGGTACAAGTCCGCAACCCGCAAATCATGTTGTGGAAAGGAGCAGATTCCAAGTGGGGCCTCCAAACCAACACGAAGCTAGACGAACTATGAAACAGAATCAGAAGAAACAAACATCGGTCCAAGCCAAGGGCACGTTCGCGCGAAACAGTTGTCATTATGGGACTCCTACTACAGGAAGAAAAAAAAAAAAAAACAGGTTGACAGTTTCTGGCTATCAAAGTTAGAAGCTGCTATAGTCCTTGATCCTACCTTCTACGGGCCGTAACTTTCATTGCCAGACCTAGCTCACCACTTCAAGTGTTTGCCTTTTTGGTTTTCCCCCATGTCTCCTTTCAACTAGCAAGCAGCTAACTTCTTGCAGGTCTATGTCTGGCCCACATTCAGGGGTGACTTGGAGTATGGCGAAGTAACGGGGCCCATTTGCCACTACAAGTTGTTTCCACCCAGGGGGCCTCCAATTGGGACCCAGGGTGGGAGAGCTGCGAATATTGGTGCACGTCACCGTCGCTGTGTGCACACGGCGACAGCTTGGCTCGAGCGACGTGGACCTGGACAGCCTTTGCCCTTCAGACATGCTCCACTCTCAGAGGTGTGGTTCGTTCCAGGCGGAGCCAAAGGAGATGGTTTTTGTCCTGGATGGAGTGAACGGGTATCTATTGGTTCAACTGATGCTGGCCCTGCGTCTGGGCTGCTTCTTTGCAGATGGGCCAGCCATGGTGCAACGGAAAGGGTAAGTGACATGGCGCTGAGCGACTATCTCAAGTCGGACTTCGCCATTTCCCCCTGAAAGAGCCTTGAGGATGCCTTTTTCAGACTGCGATTGAGGCTTTCATTTCCGGGGTTGCCTTGCCATGACTCTACCATCAAATGGTATGCAAGACAAGCGACCCAGCTGTGCCCAAGACCTTGTGAACATTGCCTTTATGCATGTTTGGAGTCAAGATCTGCAGAGCCTGCCGGCCGAGCACTCATCAAGGCTGAAACTCATCGCAACGCTGGCGCCTTTCAGCATCCCAGCGCATTCTTCCAGGGCTTTCTGCTAGACACAGCTTGCTAGCAATGGGATATCTTCAGGCTTAAAGGAGTGATGTTAGATGGCATCACAAGGCACGTCCATGCTTCCTTGAGTTGAGCAAAGCCCGGCGTTGGACCCAACCATTTTGGCTGTGCCTTAAGCTTCGTGGCAAGTTGCAGCTTGAGACTGCTGCTGTACAGTACTGTCGACAGCGCAGCTGGCTTTCGCATGTGCTTAACCGTTTGTATTTGATGCCGCCTCATTTGGATTCAGTGATGCCGACTTGGTCTAGAACTTGCCTCGGGGGATGGCAGTGTATCCGGGTAGCTCGTAAACAAGGCAGTTCAAAAAAGGATGCGCTTGTGAGCTTCGTTCGGGCACAAAATGCAAGGCGACAGCTGACGGTGTTCCCGACAAACAGGTTCTGCGAGCTTTTTTGCTTCGGAGAGGGATTCTGCGAAGTAGTTCTGCGAAGCACTTCTGTGCGGTTCTGCGAAGCAGGCGTACTTGCTTAGCTTGCAGGGAAGTTCTGCGAAGGGCTCTGCGAAGTGCTTCGGCGAACCGAGGCTGCCGGTCCGGAGCTGCGGTGACACGTTCTAAGTGGCTTCGCAAACTTGGTTTGGTGGGGCGTCCAGAGATGGTGCCCCTGTAATTGTCCTTTGCGTTGGTAAGGAAGCCACCTTGGACTGCTGTGGAAGCGTGGTTGATGGCATCAGGAGCAGCAGGTTGACTTGAGCAAAGCTTGGCGCCGAAACGGGCGGAGGTGATTCCTGCGGGTGTCCCAACGGCTCGTCAGTGGTGAGCAAACCCAAAGTGCAGGAGCAAGCCATTCGCTGGGTATCCCAGCCGCCTTCTGGCGCGGCATGGTTTCACTGCTTCTTGGAAGTTATCTTGATGCGGCGCGTTTAGGCGCAGCGCATGTGTTCAGCACGCTTCATTTTGGCTCGGCCCTGTGCCGCAACCCTTCACTTGGTGGCCCTTGCGGGCGAACATCGACATGTAAGCCAGGCTTTGCCTTGTCACAAACAACACGGTCCGGGTTTTAACCTCTTGGGCAAGCTTTGTAGCAAAACCAGAATGTCGTGTTCGGAATGCTCTGAAGGAGGCATGTTTGACAGCACGAGCAGCGGCATGTCGCCTTGAGCCATGTGCAGAGCGGTTTTGCACATAGAGCACAGAGCTTTGTGCTCAGCTTCAGACTGCTGCTGCGTGCGCTCACAAATCTTGAGCATACAGATGTTTGCGCAATGCAGTATCAGTGTTTCACTGCCCGCTTTCAGGGCTCGTTTCCGGACAAGGCTGCTGCTTTACGCAAGACCTTCGGTTGCGCGAGAAGACACTTCAAATCATCAAGCAGGCTTGACTTCAGTGTGAAACCACCTGTCTTGCCAGCCAGATCGGGCCAAACAGGCCTTGCTCAGTCTTCCAGGCTGAGACTTATCTCAGCCCCTTGCACACGTCAGTACCGCAGCCTGTTCTTCCAGATGTTTGTAAAGCGGCTTAGAAAGGGATATGTCCAGACTTGCATGAGGAGTGTTGGTCGTCAGGGGAGCCGTCTTTCCTTCACTTGACCAAAGGGCAAAGCGCTTGGACCCAGGTGTCAGTGTGCCCAAAGTTGCAGCAGACTGCTGGCCACAGTACTGGCTTGCACCTGTCACATGTTTTGTGCTTTGAGCCACAGCATTGGGATTTACTTCAGTGATGCGCCCTGGTCTAGAATTGGCTTCAAGGGCGGGCTGCGTATCAAGGCGATCCGGGAATCCTCGTAAGAAAACTAAAAGGCCGTGTTCGGAATGCTGTGCAGAAAACGTGTTTGTTCCCTTAACCAGGCGCCTCATGTTGCCTTGAGTTGAGCAAAGTACGGAGCCGTTGCACTCATCCAGCTTGGCTGTGTACCAGAACCTCGGGGCAAGCTTCAGCTTCAGACTGCTGCTGTGGTTTGCAGACACGACTGCTGGCTTGCACATGTGCTCACGGGTTGCGGTCTTGTTCTAGCATTTGCTCTGCTGGCTGGACTTGCATCACGGGAGCTTGCAAGAGGTTGTTCTTCGCAATCCAAAACCAGGCCTGGGCTTAAATTGACATGGCTCAGGCGCTGTTCGGATGGCAGTGCGTTGCATCGAGTCTGCCGTCAGCAAGTGGGCGCTGAGGCCAAGCGACCTGTCTGTGCCCAGAGCTTTGTCGATGTTGAAGGTACGTGCAAACCAAGCAGCTTCCAAGGCTGAAACTCAGATCGGCGCTTGCGCATTTCAGCATCCCAGCAGATTCTTCCAGGGCTTTGTGCCTAGACACAGGTTGCTTGCAACGGGATATCTTCAGGCTTGGAGATGGAGATGCTATCTTAGATGACATTACAAGCAGCCTCATATTTCCTTGACCAAGGGGAGCGCAACAACGCCCAGTTTGACGAGCCCAGCCAAGCTTTGGCTGAGAAATCTCGAGCTCTGTAGCATCTCTTCATGTTCTTGCAGGGCTTTCCGCCGTACTGACTGTTTGAGGGGCAGCGCTAGATGGCATCATGAGGATGCTGCCTTGACTTGAGCAACACACGGAGCTATTGGACCCAACCACTTTGGCAAGAAAACATTGTGGCAGGCTGCAGCATGAGACTGCTGCTGTAGTTGGCAGACTCTGTACTGGCCACAGTACAGCTGGCTTGCGCATGTGCTACAACCTTTTGCGTTGCGGCACCGGCAGCGCCAAAACTTTCCCGCCCTTGGCAAGGATGTGGCACGATTTGGGATCAGTTCTATGATGCAGACTCGGTCAGTCTAGGAGTCTAGCATTTGCTTCAGTTGCTGGCTTCGCCTCCAGGTAGCTTGCAAGAGCTTGCGCTTCGTCATCAACAACCAGGCCTGATCTTAAGTTGACATGGCACAGGCGCTGCAGAGATGACAGTGCTCTGCAATTCTGAGGTCATCAACTGGTGGTGAAACCAAGCGACCTGGCTGTTCCTAGAGCTTTGTGAAGTCCCAGCTGCACGATATTGAAGCTAAGCTTTGCGAAGCCTGCAAGCCAAGCAGTTTGCAAGGCTGAGACTCATCGCAACGCTTGCGCCTTTCAGCATCCCAGCGCATTCTTCCAGGGCGTTCTGCCTAGACGCAGCTTGCTTGCAATGGGACATCTTCAGGCTTAAAGGAGTGATGTTAGGTGACATCACGAGGCGCATCCATGTTTCCTTGAGTTGAGCAAAGCCCGGCGTTGGACCCAACCATTTTGGTTGTGCCTAGAACTTAATTTGCAGCTTGAGAGTGCTGCTGTAGTTGGCAGACTCAGTACCGGCGACGGCACAGCTTGCTTTCGCAACTGCTCACTCCGTTTGCGTTGATGCCGCCTCATTTGGATTCATTGATGCCTACTTGGTCTAGAGTTTCCCTCGGCGGATGGCAGCGTATCAAGGTAGTTCGTAAAAGGTTGCACTCGTGAGCTTCGCAAACTGCTGTGACGAAGCGTGTTAGATGGCATCAGAAGCATGAGCTTGACTTGAGCAAAGCGCCAAGCTTGGCTCTGACCAGAACCACAGCTTTGCGTGAAGCTTCAGCATGTGTCAGCATTAAACATGGTGTTTGGACTCGCGCATCAAGTCAGAAACCAGACCTGGGCTTTCCACAGAGCTGCGCGAACGCAATGAGGACCTATAGCCAAGTACTGTGCCTCGAGCTTTGTGAAGTCGGCTTCAGCATATGCTCTTTTTCCCCGGGCTTGCCGTGATACAGGTTGCTTGCAATGAAATATGTTCAGGCTTGCAGATAAAGTCCAACATTACATCGCAAGGAGCAGTATGCTTCCTTGACTTGACAAGAGTGCGGATCGCTTGGACCCAACCACTATGGGCTTGCCAACAACTCTGTGGCAAGTTGCGGCTCGAGACTGCTGCTGTGATTGGCAGACACACAATTGCTGGCTTGCGCATGCGCTAGCACCTTTTGAGTGTGCAGCCCCGGCCGCACCGCATCTTTCCAGCCCATACGCGTTCAAGGCGTTTCGCGCGTTGGGAGTCCATTATCAGACGCAGTCTTGGTCTAGCATTTGCTTCGGTGGCTGGCTTCTCATCAAGTTCGCTTGCAAGAGATTGCGCTTTTGCGTACTCAAAAGTGGCCTGGGCTTGAATTGATGGGGCGGATGACTCTGCCGTCAGCAAGCGGATATTGTTGAAGCCAAGAGACATGGCTGTTCCCAGAGCTCTGTGAAGTCCCAGCTGCACGATATTGAAGCTACGCTTTACGGAGCCAAGCCAAGCAGCTTACAAGGCTGAGACTCATCGCAGTGCTCGCATGCTTCCGCGTCCCAGCATGTGCTTCCAGGGTTTTAGGCCTCGATACAGCTTGCTTGCAATGGAATATGTTCAGACTTGCAGGCGAAGTGTTAGACAATATCACAAGGAACATCATGTTTCCTTGACTTGACCAGAGTTCAATTCGCCTTGATCCAACCAGTGTGGGCGTGCCCAGAACTTTGTGGCAAGTTGCGGCTTGAGACTGCTGCTGTGGTTGGCAGAGACACGATTGCTTGGTTGCGCATGCGCTCACACTTCTTGAATGTGCAGCCTTGTAGCACTGGCCGCACCGGATCTTTCCAGCCTATACGCTTTCAAGGTGTTTCGCGCGTTGGGAGTCAATCCTCGGACGCAGTTTTAGTGGCTGGCTTCGCATCAAGTTAGCTTGCAAGGCTTGCGATTTGTGTAAGCTGCGTAATCAAAAGTGGCCTGGGCTTAGATTGACAGGGCGCAGGCGCTGCTTGGATGGCAGTTGTTTGCAATAACTCTGCTGTCAGCTGGTGTTGAAGCCAAGCGAACTGTCTGTGCCTAGAGCCTTGTGAAGTCCCAGTGCGAAATTGAAGCTACGCTTTGCGGAGCCAAGCCAAGCAGCTTCCAAGGTTGAGACTCACAGAGCTCGCATGCTTCCTCATCCCAGAATGTTTGTCCAGGCCTTTCTGCCGTGATAGTGGCAGCCTGGAATGATGTTTGTTTTGGCTTCCGGAAGTAGCGTTATACGGTATCATGAGTTTTATGTTGGCGCAAGGGCCATTTGGAACAAGTGCTAGACGAACAGGCTAGATGTGCCAGAGCAAAGAGCAACCAGGTTGAGAACCCTTGGGGGTCCATGCGGGTGGTTGCAAGCAAAGCCATCAGCACGGGTTGCCAATTCTAAACAAACATCGACCCAGATGCAGATCATCCACTGATTGACGATCTGACTGTTTCCTACAAATGGGGAGCCCGGTTTGCTCAAGTTGAGAAAAAGCACGCAGCTGTTGCACCCAACCAGTTTGGCCCTGCCCAGAACTTTGTACCAAGCTGCTGTCTAAGGCTTTGACCCACAATGTGAGCACGGATGACGGATTAGGGTAATTACTGCCCAGAGCAAGGATTACGCGGATTACGGATTGTGATTCGGCCTTCCGGAATTTCGAACAGCCTATGCTATAGTTGGCAGACGCACTGCTGGCCGCAGCAAAGCTGGCTTCGTTCGATGCCTTGCCTTGCTTCACCGACCACGCCGCATTTTTCCCGCCACACTGGCGAGGCTGCGGCGAGCTCTGTGCTTCAGCTCAAAGATGCAGTCTTGGGTTATCAACTCAAGTAGTTTCTAAGAGGTTGCACTTTGGGTATGCCCGGATGGGCCTTCTGCTTGATACAGGCGGAGGTGATTTTTCCGGGTGTAAAGGCTCGCGAGTGGTAAGCCATTCGTTGGGTATCTCAGCCGCCTTCTGGCGCGGCATGGTTTCACTGCTTCTTGCAGCGTGTTTAGGCGCAGCGCATGTGTTCAGCACGCTTCATTTTGGCTCGGCCCTGTGCCGCAACCCTTCACTTGGTGGCCCTTGCGGGCGAACATCAACATGTACGCCAGGCTTTGCCTTGTCACAAACAACACGGTCCGGGTTTTAACCTCTTGGGCAAGCTTTGTAGCAAAACCAGAATGTCGTGTTCGGCATGCTCTGAAGGAGGCATGTTTGACAGCACGAGCAGCGGCATGTCGCCTTGAGCCATGTGCAGAGCGGTTTTGCCCAGCCAGCTTGACTGTGCACAGAACTTTGTGCTCAGCTTCAGACTGCTGCTGCGTGCGCTCACAAATCTGTACATCATCAGTGTTTCATTGCCCGTTTTCATGGCTCTTTTCCGGACAAGGCAGCTGCTTCACACAAGACCTTCGGTTGCGCCAGAAGACACTTGGAATCATCAAGCAGGCTTGACTTCAGTTTGATAAAGTTTGTCTTGCCAGCCAGCGTGTTTTACAATGAAGCCAACTGGAAGATATTCTCTCCAGCCAGCGCTCGCAGGGGTTTGGATCGTGAAGCGTGCTCAGCTGACAGCCACGGCGACACAGGAGGAGCATTTTATGATGGTAGGGACACGTGGCATAGGTGCTGTTGTGGCAGCTTTGTGCCTGGAAATTGTCGTCAGCAAGGGGTATTGGCGACGGAGCCAACCGACCAGCTGTGCCCAAGACCTTGTGTGAAAGTTGCAGCCGCACGTGGTTGGAGTTAAGCCTTGTGAAGGCTGCCTGCACACGTCAGAAAAGGCTGCTAGGAATACGATACGTTCAGGCTTGAGTGGTAGATGCCATACGGAGCGGCGTGTTTCCTTTGCTTGACAAAAGCGCAAAGCGCTCATGTCCAACCCTTCAGTGCCTTGCTGCCCAGAGCCCTCGCATTGATCACCTCTTCCCCGTGGTGCACGTGCCATTCGGGGCTCTCTTTGAAAAGCATCCCTTCTCGCCAGCCTTTCCTGTTCCTCAGAGTGACCCGGGTCATTCCCATGAGTAAAATGAGAGCCTGCGTTGATTTTCCAGCGCGGCGCTGCCGGGCATGTCGCAAGCGGCTGCGAAGGTCCTTGCAGCTTGATGACGAGATGCTTTCCGCTTTCTTCCGTGAGTGTTGTGAATTGGCTTAGCGAATACGGGAAGTGCAGATGCTGATCCCATTCCGATGCCAGCAAGTTTCACGTGCCTTTGCCCCTGGGGCTTTGGCTTGAAACAGTCTTGAAACAGTCTTGGATTCTGAGGAATTGAGGTTGAGCGTGCCTTGCTTGACAGGATCAAAAGAGCGTGGCAAGCTGGAAGGTAAGGACATGGGCCGCATGGGTGACAATTCCTCACTTTGCCATCTCTCACTTTACCCCTTGAATGGCAGTTTTGTTTCTCCAATGTTGGTCATTTATTAATTTCCTTGGTGATCCTTGGTGTTTGTTTGTTGAGTTGTATCAACGCACACACATACAGGCCGCAGGGAGCAGCTCTACACTTGCGTGCTCTCAGGCCGTATCATGTATTGCGAGATTTGCCAAACCGCGGTTGTGCTATTTGTTGCATGGACGATGGCGCAAAAAGAACCAGTGTATAATAACAAACAGATCCAGAAAGCATGTGAACTCCTTTATTTTAGGAAGTATCACAAGCAGATGCACACACACACATACACTCACATGTGCGTGTGTATTTGTACGTGTGTGTGTGTGTGTGTGTGCGCGTGCATGTGTTGCCCAAGCAATAATTCCAAGTTCAACTCTGATCCCCGCAGTGCCTTTTTTTGCGTCCTTGAAAGCTCGGCTTCACCAGTCGCACCTTACACTACACTGTGGTGAGGTATCAAATGCTGAATGTATCAACCCATATATTATATGTGAGCTGGGGTGAACCCCTTGTGTAAACCCTAGAAAGTTTGGTTCAGCCGCTGAATATGGCTTAGTCTTGGACCCAGAGAGCGTTGGGGTAGGCGGCTTCCAGGAATCTTTGCATGTTAAGATTAGGATTCGATCAGCTGGGTGCGTCTCTTAGGGTGCCCTTAGAGGGAGCCAAAGGAAACCGCCTTGGCCCCCTATGAGACATTATTTTACCATTCGTCCCTTTGTTGGCTCAACATGAGGCAGTTATAGCCCGTTCTGCAAGCGACATATGCACCTTTGCCAGGGAGAACTGTTGCAAAAGGGTAGGATGATTGCTTAAAATCTATGGTCTGAAACCGTGGTGTTGGTGGTGCAGCTCTTTTGTTCTCTCATGCCCGTGTTCAATCCTGGATTCTTCGATTTTCAGGACTTTAGGACTCCCTCACCCCATAGGTTCTGAGCACCCTCCCAAAGCACCCCGTCCATCAGATGGTTTCCTTTTGAGCCTTTGTGGGGTCTATGGTTTTTGGTTTGTTCCTTATCTTCTAGTTGCTGCAAAATGGTTTGTTTCCAAACGCCCCGATCAAAATGGGAATCAATCCGTCTTTTTGCAGGGCCGACTTGTTGCGGGATGCACAAACCAATTAATTGAAACCGCCGCGGAAGTTTCAAGGCGACTGCTACTGAGCTCATTCGGAGGAACCCCTATTTTGAGACAAACCCAAATGGTCTTTCGACCGGCCCCAAAGAAAATGGGTATGTTCCTTTTGGTTTCCGTGCAAACCAACCCAGATGGGGTACCCTTAACAAACGCGCACACCCAGATAGCGCCTATTGGGTGGCGAATGTTTGGACCTTATCCCTACGTTGCTGTTCAACCCACTTAGCAGATTACATCCATGGCGATTTGTGGACTAACCCCTGTTACCCCTAACCAAGGCCACAAGCAGGTTTAGGGTTTCCTACCTTGGAGGGAAGCCATCTCGGCACAGGCGACGGCTTTGAATGCCATTGATCCCATGCTGCCCCCAGGCGAGTGGCGGATCGATCGGGTGGAAGTTGAAACGAGAGAGGACCTCTTCGGGATTCACCCCATTGTCGGTTTGGAAATTGACATAGTTCGCAGACACTCTCAGCGGGCTGCTTCCTTGTTTGCGTTCTTGTCTGGAGTGCAAATGGTGCCCATTTTTGGCTGGGGGGTTCGGAGTTTGCCAACACATATCGAAGGGGTTAAGTGGATCGTTCAATGATGTCATGCTGATGTTCTCATTCAAGTGCCCTACTTGGGGATTTTTGTTCCGGGGTTATGCTCATGTTTCCTGGGGGAAAATCGGATTGTTTATTTTGGAATCCCTTCTGAGATGGGTGTGTTTGTTTTTGAAGACACCCTGTTGCGGGTAGCCAAAGGGAAGCCTCGCATGGGCGACTCCCCAGATCCGACTGAGGTGGATCCCCGCAGTACCGGCCAGCCGACCGCAAGCCGGCGTGGCACACTGAGCCTTGCCGATTCGAGCGCAGATTTGCCAGAAAGGTGGTGCCCTTTTTGATTGTCTTTTTCGTTTTGTTTCGGGGGGGGTCTCTTTAGAAGCAACTGCTTTTTGTGGCAAACACCTCCTTTGGTGGGATTGGAGCCCATTTGTGTTCAGTCAGGGGAGTATCCCAACTCCTACACTCCTTATTTTGCCTTGAAAGGGTGGTATCTGGCAAAGCCAATTCGATTTGAGTGTTGCTAGTCTTCTTCCTACTCTCCAAAAGGAGATTCCGTTTTCAAATGAGTAGGTACTGTGCCTTCCACGTTGATCTGGAAGCCCACAAGTGGCTGCAGTTTGTTTCTAATTGAAGCAACATTGCGTGATGTTTTTGCATGGAGCAACCCGACCCACTGAAAAGAGTGAATTGGGGGAGGCGGGCGATCCCTGAAAATGCATTTATCACTCTATTTTCACTGGAATGGAATTGGGGACCCCCCCCAACCCCCCTCCCCATTTGGTGGGATGTTTTGCATTCTGACAAGGACTCCGTGTACCGCAAAGACGCGCCCATCGGGTCCTTGCTGTACTGCAAGCGACGCGGCCAAACAAGGAAGCCGCCGGGATTCGTCTCCCAACTCCATTGTGCTTGGCTAGAATCCTGGGGTCTCATAAACAATTGGGAAAAAACCAAGTTAAAAAGGGAAAAACACTGTATTTTGCGGTGGACCAAATAACATGAAGCAGATGTGATTTTCTGTGTACCAAAGCATCAGGTGCTCGCGTTTCTGTTTAGAGCTAGGCTGGATGGGCTCAAAGAGAACCAGCGACACATCCCCCGACCTCCAAAATGGAATTGGGCGATGGGGACACTGGAATTCAATGGCTAGTTTCATGTTGCCTTTTTGTGATTGGATGACTACAAACATTGGGGGGAACCCTCCACCCATCAACCCAAGGCCGGGCAGGTCTTGCTCCAATAGAGCGACATCTTCAAGATTCCCGCTAAACGGTGGTTTGTAGCGTCCCTCATCCCCAAAGTAATTGTCCCCTCAAAATGCTACCGCGTGGGTCCTAAACAGACACACGGGGGTCCGTTTTTGTTGCGGGTTCTCTTTTTTGGGTTGGTTTAAGGGGAAACCAACCATGAAAACCTTGAATGTGTAGGTCCTGCTACATTGACACGCTCCCGTTTGGGGGTTAACCCTCAATTGGCACGGTCCTGAAGCCTTTGAGCGCCTTGCCCAAAGTGTCAAACCTGTGTTGGACCCAAAGTGGGCTGTTGGACTTGTTTGCTTTCCTTTGAAACCAAGGTGAAAAGGGCACCAACTCAGAAAAAGAAACAAAAGGAACCTTTTGACCAAGGTGACTCGCAGTGCTGGATTCAATCTGGTTTGTGGTTGGCTCAAAATTTAAATGGTATGCGGCGCGACTTGTAGCGGGATGGCAAAAACAAAGACCCACTGTGGGCCAAGGCAGACCCCTCCTGCTGGCGGAGCCACCTGCTTCGCAGATGCTGTGGCGGCCTTTGAGGCGTGAATTTCGGGGGTCGTAAGGTCAGGAGGTTGCTGGAGTTATCCTCCAAAGTTATATATTTTAGGGTAGACCAACTATGAAGCTGAATCTGAACCTATTATTTTCTGTGTACCAGATGTGGGTTAGGGTTGGTTCTGGGTACAGTTGCCCGCGTTTTCCATTGTTGAGAGTGTCCCTTTAAATCAACCAGCAAGAACATTAAACCCTCTTGTTCCATGGCCTCTCTCAGGTTTGACCTGGAACCATCCTCAGTCAAAAGGGGGTATGTACGGTCATAACCTTGTCTTCCAAAAGCGGCCGGTTCACTTCCACGGTGGGAGGATGGTATCTTTGTTTGAGAAAGTGAGTGGCAAGGTTCTCTTTAGCTCTCTTGGTTTCTTGTTCGTCTCGGGAACTGTTTGGCGCCAACCAAGGGCAAGGGAAGCACGTGTTTTCCGGAGGGTTGAAGGCTAACCTCAACACAGGGAGCCCCCCCCTTTGTCGAAGAGCTCAGAAAAAGGAAGCCACATGATTCACAATTTGTTGTCTCTCAAGCCAGGAACATGTTTTTTGTTTGGTTTGGTTTTGGAGGAAAAGGCAAACATTAGTTTGGAGAAACTTTATGGTGTTTCTCAAATAAAAATCGGTCCTCATGGCAGCGGTGTCCTTTTGACTTCCTCTTGAATACGTTCGCCCTTCAAAAAAAACGAAGCCCACATTCTCGGGTGATTAAAGGATGCAGAGAACCATCAGGACCTACACTCGTTAGATTGAAGCGCGGGGGGGTTGCTACCGGGCTGATCCTTTCGGAGGGCAGCCCCGGTGTTTTGTTGGCTGTTCATTGACGCGCTTGGACCCTCCCAAGCGCAAAACAAATTGAAGCTGACCACTGGAGAACATCCCCCCTGCTTTGGCTTCTGGCCTGATCAGTCCCAGGTCGCTAGTGCTTTAACCAGGCACCATGCGTGTGAGGTCGATCAGAAGGAAGCCTTGGACGTTGCTTGAATGAAGGTGAGTCTGCGATACTGACAAGTCCCACTGACCAGCACCTGCAGGTAACTTTTCACCGGTCACTTGGATTGGCTTTGGACTTGAAGCCCTGGTTCTAGAACAAACAGCTCAGCCAACGGGCAGACACCACTGGGACATGAGAAACCTGGTTCATGAAGCCGCAAAAGATTCACCCCCGCCAAAAAAAACACCACCAAGCCACATAGGAAGAAAAGAACCCCCCCCCAAAGAAAACAAACAACAAAAAAGCCACCAAGCCGCGTAAAAATGGGCAACCCCCGCCCGCAAAAAAAAAAAACGAAGCACCGGTTCGGAGAAGAAAAAAACTTCAGAGGCCCTGAGCCCCGAGAAGCAGAAGCACGTGGCGGGTCTAGAGCCCAGGGCTCAGCTGGCGCGAACCGAAATATCCAATCCAGACTCATATGTGTGTGTGTGTGTGTGTTTTTTCTCCAGTTGTTCCTCTGTTTCTTTTCTTTTTTCCCATGGTTTCCCTGTTTCTCCCCCTTTTTTGGACAGCCCCCCGAGTTTGGAAGTGTTCTGGAACTATCTATGGTTCAGTTGTTCCACCAAAAGCAGCCGTGCAGCTCCAAACCGCCCATCCAAGCGAATTAGCGAGAGTAGGGGCAAGCTGACTGATAGTGTTGACCACGGAGAACCTCTCCCCTCTGGACGAGATTGACACGGACAAACTTGCGCACTAAGAAAAATCAGGGTCGAAATCTGCTGGTCATAGGAGCTTAAACGGGATCTGCTCCCCAACAAAACTCGTAATGTCAACCAATTCTCCAACGCTGGCACTTGGTAGAGGATTGCAACTACAACACATTTGAGCATATAACAATCCTGAAGCTCAGCCTAGCCGGCAAAAGACACATATTGAAAATTGGCCTGTGAGAATCCTTGGTTTTCATCTCCAACTCTGATGTGAGCTATAGGTGTCTGTGCTCCCAAGCGCATCACGATGCCAAGGCAGGGTTTGCAAAACTCGGTGGTTTGGGTTTTGTTGGGCTTTGTGGTGATTTGTGCCGGTTCAAGAAGACACTTTCACTTGGTAGGGATGGTCATGCACCCCGTGGATAGAAAAGTCACACAGCCATGATCCGGATTCCTTGTGAAGGTATCCACGACCATGACCCGCATAGGGGACCATAGCTGGGTGCAGGAAGAAAGTCTGATGCTTACCGAAGCTTTGCGCTGGACTTTGCTCATAAGCGAACCGACCTTGAACAACTAGGTCCCCCAGTACTACCCTTTTTTTTGGGGGAGGGTTCCCCTACTAAAATAGACTACAGCACAAAGGGTACCCTTGTTGTAGCCTCTCCACGGGAGGACCTAGACTTCCTATTGGCTCATATTCAGTTGCTTTGGCTGGGTTTGCCAAAGATGATCACCATTTTCGAGGTCGTTTGGGCAAGCGAGTTGGGGCAAGTGTTGAAGTGAGTCCTTGTGCTCTGAAATTGGACAGGCGAGCCACAATCAAATTTTGAGAAAGTGGAGGGTAGGGAAAAGCCTCAGCCACAAATAGGTTCGGATCTCCACCCTTGTAATTATTTGCATAATTTTGTCTACACTCTTCTGAATACCGGTTTGAATATGACTCAGGTTGACGCTCAGCCCCAAAAAGAGCGCACACACGGCTGTAAACCGAAAGAGTTCGATCGTTCAGAAGTTATTTCAATTTGGCTGATGTTAACATAAACATGACAAGGGGCACTCCGTGATGCCTATGTCCGGACCAAAAGATAAAAGATCAAAGCAGGTCAATCGCATCCAGGGGGCTGGCTGCATGTGGAGTCTCTCGTGTAATTGTTCCGAAATGGTCGCAGCTCGTTTGGGCTAATGGCTAAAATCAACTCCTTTGTGCAGCGGAATTCAGGTCGAAACAGCCTCTGGGCTTACGGAGGATCTTGGGCCGAAGGCATGACCCTGACCCTCATGAGATTGATCATGGCCCATGTGAGTTCTTCCTCCTATGAACAATTGGGCGTTAGCTTTATGTTGTGCGAACCAGCAAAAATTGGATGTTATTCTCGTGAGGGGGGCGAGAGAATCGCCAATATGTGGCGCCGATTTTGTGGAACTCATTGGTCAATTTGGGGTCGGGACATGAACTACAACAAACAACCACCGTTCGCGTAGATCGATTCCTTGGCATAGGTCTTAGTGGCTTACATTTTCTTTTGTGGCAAAATTGAGGCCAAACAAATCCTGAACGGGTTGGGCGTGTTTGGTTGGTTGCGTGCCCTTCCCCCCCAAAAAAAGCTGGAAGTCCCTACACACATTGACAAATTCGTTTTCGGCTGGAAAGGCTGCACCTTTAGTTGCCTGTTGCGGGTTTGTCCCTGATGGCGCAATGCGGCAAACCAATGACAAGGCCATTCAACACGGTTGGGCCTTTTGTTTGAGACCTGCGTTTGTTTCGGGTGTGTTGCAAGGTTGGTTTGTCCCTTTTGTGCTCAACAGATCTGTTCCTTGGAAAGTGAAGGCCCTTTATTTCACAAATGGACACAGCTGGTACGATAGTTGAATATAACAGGGAACCCAGCCCAAGACATCCTGCTTGATGTTTTAACTACTTAGTAGGATATAACGAGTGGACTAACTCCGCTTGCCCCACTTACCATGCTCAAAATCTACTTACCAGGGGCCCCCAAAGCCATGAAAATGAAGGCTTGCCTTTTCCACACACCTGGTTTTGGGAGGGGGGCAACTTGTGGTTCACCCTTCTGCTAGGGTCTTCAAGATACTTAGTAGGTTACGACCATGGTTATAAGGGGACTAACCCCAGTTACACCAAGCTATATATTATGACCTAAGCAAGTTGGTTGGACACCCAAGTTGTGTGAGCCCCTGGTCAGTCCACCCTGGCCAGATCAACAAGAGCTCCCCGGACTTCCCCACTTTGACGCCTGAGCAACGCCTCGCGAGCCCACCCCAGCGGGTGAGGCGAGGTGAGGGATGCACGCGCCGAGGTTGGATGCACATGACAACCTGGGTGCTCTATAGTAGATACATATGTATATATATATATGTATATATATATATGCGTACATATACATGCACATATATATATATATGTATATTCACACGTATGATATATGTACATATTCTATTGGGTCTGGAAAAAACGACAATTCAAATATCCCTTGATTTCTTTTCGGACGACCAATCAAACGTGTTGTTTGTGTTTTTTTTTTTTGTCCACACGGCATCTCAAAAAAGGATGAATCAACACAGACTCTGGGCACTTTGAAGGTGAGATGCGTTTTTGTCGCCCTTTGGCCCACAGCAATGTGACACAACACGGGCAAGCCCGTGGTTCCCTTAAACTAGTGGTACTGTGGATGGTCGAAAATATTGCACCACCTGAGCAACCCTAATGATGATTCCCCTGCAAATATCAACAAACGATGATTTCCATGGTTTCAAAGTGGTGCAGGATTCTTTCCCTCCACAGTATGGCAATCTACATTTGACAGACACCCAGAGCAATGCGAGTGTGATAAAGGTCCGTTCCTCAGAGATCACTCATTTGATATTGGGGAATCATGTTGTAGAAACCCCACAGCAATTTATGCATGTACAATTTCCTGTAGCTGCTGCTGTTGTTTAGATACTATGTCCATGGTGATAGTGTAGATAGAAGGCTCAGGCAGGTGACGACCCCAATTCACTGCCAAGACAGGACACCCAAAAGGGCAACGCAGGATCACTCCAGCAACGACGCAGTTTAAGCATGTCGTTGGACATTGGAAGGTTCGGGTATCCCGAACAACCATAAGAACCCTTCAGGAAACCCTCTGAACCCCTTGCGCTCCAGCCTGAACCCCTCCGAAACCCATCGGGCTGCTTCACCTGGAAACCCAATCCAGCAACCGATCCACGGAACCCTCGTAGCTTTCAGCATGTGCGCGCACGCGCGCGTAGGTTGTCGCAGTTGCACGCGTGTCGTCGCGAGGATGGCGCTGCGCCATCCCCTCACCGGGAAAGTGGCGTTGTACGGGATGAACGGGGGCACCTGCCGGGTGCTGCCGCAGGGCGCCGCAGGCTCAGGGGGAACCGGCGCAAGGTCAAGTTCGATTTCGTCGGAGCACCATAGCGATCAGGGGTGGCTCCCAAGAATTCAGTCATTTTGGGGCATTTTGGGTATGGCAACTCCGGATGGATCCAAAGTGCCTCCCAGAACCCGAGGCCTGCCCGAACATTGGCAGATTGACCCCTGAGGCAGTTGCTGTTGGGGGAAAACGATGCCATTTTTTTCGGCGGCGGGATTTTGCGAGTTTCTGCCATTGATTCTAGGCTATGTTGCAACCCGGTTCATCAACCCGCCAAACCAGTATCCCAAGAGGTTGCTACATAGACCTCAAGTCCACACGGTCCCGTCGATATCGCGAAGGCCCCGGTCACGGCGGAGGAGTTGGATAGCTACGAGCTGGATGCCGTAGAACATGCGTCGGTGCAGGAGACGACCGGAAGCTATACCTACATCTCATATGGCTGCGCATCAAATCGGGGGTTCCTATTCGGGATGATTCAAAAAGCGAACATCAAAAAATATGCCGGGTCGTGAAGGATCCCTCATTTTTGCAAATCTGCACATTTCGGGCAGGGAGCGTTTCTAGTTTCTGCGTTCAACTTGTGTTTTTTTCACAGACATTCCCCGTTTCCCAGGAAACACTTGGGATGTAAAGGCAGATTTCACCTCAGCTATAGAACCCATTGGACCCATAAGAACTCCCGGGTAAGGCAGAAGTTTGCACGAGAATCTCTTGGTCAATGCTCACCCCCGTCAAACAAACACGTCGACTTTTGGAGAACACTAGGACAACTAAACTACCACATATTTTTTTACGTTTGAGGGCTGAGGCTGAATCTTTTCCATCGCAGAACTTGATCAACTTCAAGTTTCGGACAAACCAGCATACATCAGGTTTTCCATGGGCATATAGATAGCCAATGAGTTTGCCAGTCAGCATGGATCAAGGATGATTCTGCGAATCTTACTTGTTTGCCACTCTGGCCTGCAAAGAACTAGGAACAACTGGTTTGCTGCACTTCTTCTTTGGAACTGGCTCCTGACTGCCACCATATTTGATCCGGTAACTTCTGTGTCGGACGCGGAAGCCATGAGCGTATCTTCACCCCCTTAAACTGACTGGTATTTGGGGGGAGTGACCCCTGCAATTGTGTTCACAACAGCACTACATTTTATCTTTTGTCTGGAAGACTACTTAAACAGAAAGGAAAAACAGGGGGGAGCCGCTCTCCCCGCATCATGTGGGGGTGTTGATCCTCTTCACAGACCCAAACTAGCACAGTGGATTTCGAGTGCTTAACCACTGAGTTGCGAGCGTTGGACTGCACTAGGCCTCGTTCTCATATCTGGCTTTAGGGAGAGTTTGTCAGGTTCATTGGGCGATTTGGAAACAACACACTTGTCAGGAGGGATTAATAAAGGGGCCTCTCCTCTCCCCTCCCCTCCCCTCCCCTCCCCTCCCCTTCCCCACATGGGGACCAATAGGGACATATCACGCAAATTGAGAGTCTGAGTTGAGTGATATCAGGGGCAAACTAATTCACATGTTGCTCTATGATCATGACCGAATTGGTCTCTGAAGTACCCTAGGTCCCTGTTGAAATTATTTACAACTGGGTGAAAGTAGATGGCGCAATTTCCCCATTCTCGTTTGGTCATCCCTGATGGCGCAATCCCCCATGTTTGTTAAGTCATCCCTTGTACTTACATCATCCACTTTCACACTGGGTAGGCTCTTTTTGTACTTGAGGCTAACTCTTCGGTGGGTTCCACCTTTGTTCCTCGAAATTATTTTGGGAGAGTTTTCTTTTTAAGTCAAGCAACAAAAAAGGGGTTGCCCTTTCTCCTTTTGGTCGCGCTTCTGAGTCTCGAGCACTTCTGAGACCAGCTTCGGGGATGTGATCCTGTTGGGGAAATGGCTCAAGTACTGTCCACTCATCACCCAACTGGCCAGTCAGGACACTGGCAATCGGACCATGATCTGACTAGTTTGTAGGTAAAGCGAGCTCACCGATTCGAGGTTGAAGGACGAAGCTCATGACAAACCTGTATGATGTACCTTGCCAGCAAGGTTGATTCCCTAAACTGTTGAGTTGACTAGCTCGAAACTTTAAACCGTGTGGCGTCAAACGAAAGTGAAGAAACGCATTGGCACAGTCCATAGTGTTTGGAGACCGAGCAGAGCTCAAGGGTCCTTAGAAGCCGCAACAACCTCACAGCGAATATGAACATGTTGTGATTCCAAAACCGGAAAGACTTGGAGCCAGCTGGACTCAGTGAATGCTCCGCCCCAAGGGCCCTTGTGCTTTCTTGAAAACCGCAAATGTCCATGTTTTTGTCCGCTCGCAGCTCTTTCACCCGGGGCAGCTCCGGCGGGTTGGGGTTCAAGGGTTCCCGAGGAGGAGTGGCGCTGCTTGTTGCCCTTCGTCACGGATGAGCGCTTCACCGTGAAGTGGGACCGCGGGATTCGGCAACGCGGGAAGGCTTCAGATCAAAAGCGGCGCAAGGAATGGGTGAGTACTTGGGCGTTCAACTTGGTAGGTTATGACCTTGGAAGAGGACTGAGCCTTGTTGCCCCAATTATGACCAGCCTGCTTAGTAAGTGGGTGGAACGCCCAAATAACCTCCATGGAAACACACCAGAGGGTCCCTTGGGGGGAAGAGTCAAAAGGAACCCCCAGTCAGGTTTTATGGTGGGTCCATATCTTTTGGTTTCCCTAAAAGACACTGAAAGGCGAAAGATGTAGTTTTTGCAATTGGTTCCTGCCCCTTATTTGGGCAGGGGGCTGCAGCCCTTTTTTTGAGAGGATCCTTCATTTTTGAGCCCCAGAACCACCTTCTTGGTGTTGAGGGTACCCCCGTTTTGCATCAACAGGCCCCAGGAACAGAAGGAAACTGAACAGGTGATTGGCCAGAATGGCCCACGGGCATTGCGAGGGCCATTGTTTCCTCACTTGGGTTTGTGTGAAAGGTTGACTGACCCATTTGGCATCTTGTGTTCAAACAGCGATCTGAAGGGTGGCCACCGAAAGCAAGGCTTCCAAACATATGGTGTTTGTGGATGTTTTTGGGTACCCTTTCGGGGTTGTTTGCAAGGGCAACCCAAAGGAAACCGCTTTTTGTTGTTGTTGTTTTTTTTGAGGGGGGAGGGGAGAAACCACCCCTATTTTGAGACAACCCCCGTATAGCTCCAGAAAGCCACTCATGTCTTTTGTCCATTGCCTGTCGGAAAGCTCGAAGAGTCGATCTCCAGGGCCCCCCAAGCGGACGATTGGATGACTTTGCAGGTCAAACCGACCCTTTTGCTTCCTCCAAAAAAAATAGAAAAAAATAACACTTGCCGTGGCGCCGTTTTCTTTCTTGGAGGGTGTTCACCCTCAAACCACCACCCCCAAGAAAGACATGTGTGACATGGGGTACACAACCGCAGGAGTGGCGGATCGGAGATCTGGTCCTGTGGGACAACCGACGCTTGGCTTGGTGAAACCTTTTACCTTTTGGAACATGATTGTTCTTCGGTTGATGGGGTGGTGGTGTGTTTTTGTTCAGAGGTATGTTTGGTTGATTACTCTTTGTTACAACGTTTGCCTTTTGACCTTGCGGATCGGGGGTGTCACTTGAGGCAATGTGGCCTTGCTTGACTGTCAACCAAGGATGTACCCTCCATTGCGCTACAGGCGAGGCAAGCGACGAGGGAGCATCGGGGAGTTAGATCAGGGGCGCGTCAAACTCTCCCCACGAGAAAACCAGGAGGACAAGCGCGCGCGCACACACACACACACACTCGCGCACACACACACACACGCACACACACACACACACACACACACACACACACACACACACACACACACACACACACACACACACACACACACACACACACACACACACACACACACACACACACACACACACACACACACACACACACACACACACACACACACACACACACACACACACACACACACACACACACACACACACACACACACACACACACACACACACACACACACACACACACACACACACACACACACACACACACACACACACACACACACACACACACACACACACACACACACACACACACACACACACACACACACACACACACACACACACACACACACACACACACACACACACACACACACACACACACACACACACACACACACACACACACACACACACTTACTTGGAGTGAAACAACGACCGCAAAAAAAACACCTTTGGGGGCTTGAAGGATGCCTTGAGGCAAACCCCAAAGGGTCCTAGGGGTATGGCAAGGAGAAACACCAATCTTCCAAGGGAGCAGAAAGCGAAATGGGTTCTTTGCCAATGACACGTAGAGATCTCAAGCAAGAGTAATAAGATGGATTCCACCCACAAACCACTACCCGACTGGATACATACATAGACGTATACACATTATATATATATATATATTATACACACACCCTTTCGGTCTGGTTTGGGAGCAACGGACATCCAGGCAAGGTCAAAGCGGTATATGCTTCTGAGTTCTCGTGCAATGAACCGAGTTTGAAGACAGGTCCCCGCAAAGAGCCAAAGAACACCGACTTGAACAGGGCAGTCCGTGAAAAGTGCAGGGGGTTGTCGACCTCTTAGATGTCCTGCATCCATTCCGTTTTCAGGCAAACATTTTGTTGACTTGTTGCAGTCACGTCAAGTTCCTTGGCGCGACACTCGAGGATTTGCAACCTTTGAGCTACCTCACTGCCCTGCGCGTTTCTGGTTTGTGGCTCAGGCGAACGAGCTCGTTCGCCAGCTTCCAAGTAGTATGCCATCTTGATATGTACATAGTGCCTGTCCATGTTTTCCTGAGCGTCTGTATTTGCAGCGCGATTCGTAGCGGCTTCGAGTTCAGCACCGGCGATACTGGCGATGACGATCTAGCTCCAAACTGCGCCGAGGGCAAGCAAGACCCACAAGACAGGGGTGGGCGAAACTTGTTTGAACCATGGCGGTCTCCTTGACTCAGTTGCCCAGTGGCACGTCTGTTTTTCTTCATTTTGCTGTTGGTTCCCACGGCCACGGGGCTGAGTTTAAGGAGAAAAGAACCAAAAGGAGGTTGAAGCAATAGCTGTTTACACATGTTCAAACGGCTGTGGGTCAAAACCAATGGTACCATTTTGGGCTAGGTGAATTCACCACCCATTTTAGATCCTATTTTAGAGGGGATTGGGATGTTCACTGGGGGTACGATTTGTGTTTTGATTCAAACGAGTATCTCACCCTGCCAGGACCACAACGTCTTCATCCTGGACCCCCAGGATGCCAGGGACTTGAACCTCCTACAGCCCTGGTGCTTGAGGGAAGACAACGCTTGCCAGGGCCCAAAAGTCTGCCAGGCGGGAAACTTCTCGTGCTTTATGACGTGATCTGAAGCACAGCTTGGTAGTTTGAGCGCCGTGTGTGTGTGTGTGTGATCTTATTCTTGTTTATTTTCTTTTTGTTTTTCTTTCTTTCTTTCTTTCTTTCTCTCTTTCTTTTTTTCTTTCTTTTTTTTGTCTTTGGGAAGCAACCAACAGCCACGACATGCATGGCTTTGCTTGCAGGCCTTCGGAGACAACACTTGTCTAACACCATTTGCGACATAGCGTCACACAAAAAGTCAACAGAATCAACATGGTCGAAAAACGATCAAGGTTACATGGCTTTTGAGATATGCGAACAGTCATTGGCCCGCACGTGTTCGGATGGTGAGGAACAAGATGGCACGCTCCAGCAATGATGAAAGATCAACCTCATCAATGTTTGCACGGCGAACTGCATCGGGTGCCAACCCTTCAAAGATAATCTCACGCACCCCAAGAAGGACCCGCCGTAAACCTAAGCATCCAAAAGCCACTCGCAAGCACATGTAAACGTGAACACCCCACCCAACCCCCCCCCCCCCCCACCCCCCATCCCCGACCCCCCACCCCCCACCCCCCACACCCAACCCTCCCCCCCCAAAAAAAAACACGAAAATCAAGCGAAATTGTATAGCTTTTGAAGGGAGACCGTAACATGTTGTGGAGGGGTCAGGCGGTGATCAAGCCGAAGGAATTCAGACATCAGGGTCGACGGAAGAGCCTCGACATGGCCCGCAATTGGAGGAGTTTTGACCGTTGCGCAAATGGTGAGACCGTTTGTGGCCTTTCAGTAAAATTCGGGCTTGCAACCGAATTACTGAGAGGGCGCCCAACTCCTGTTACTGCTCCTCTTCCTGCTCTTCAGTGTGCTTTAACTGATTCTCCCATGGGATGCAGCAATCATCGTCCACCAATTTTCTGGAGAGACTCATGGCAGCCTCCCCTGGCGCGAATACGCGGGACTCCGCGAGGTGGCAGTGACTCCTCGGATCGACCCTTGGGAGCCGATCAATGGCTCAGAGCTTCTCATCACCATCTTGGCGAACTGCGCCCGAGTTGCGCTTCAGGTCCTTCTGCCGGTTTTGTTGGCGTTTTGGGGTCCCTGGTCCGTCTGCGCACTCGGTCTGTTCCGTTTGGGGGAACGCCTTTTGTTGAAAGACGTCAACCGCCTGGGCTTCGTTCTGGTGTTGTTCGGGCAGTTGCTTCTCCTCCGTGTAAGGATTGCAGAAGTTGTCTCCAGGATTGGCTCTCCTCATAGGGTTTTGCGGGATCTGTTGCTTTTGTGCCGATCCTCAATGTCTGTTGAGCATACCCTGAAACCTCTATGAAAGGGGTCCCCGCGGGCGCATACCACAATGTTGCTAGATTCCTGGATTCCTGGATCCTGGGTCTAAGATGGTTTTCGCCAACGAAACTAGGGACATACAACTATGTATCGTCACTATATCTAAGTGGCACCTGCCCTTTTTATTCCTCAGAGAAGTGACTTTGTGGTAGTGGAAACCAGAGTTGGATGCAAGGTTTGGAAGACATGGCTTTAGTCTTTGCAGCAATCCCGGAAGCGAGCTTTTGTTTAGAACCCCTATTTGGGAACCTATTTTTTTTCTCCAATTTGACTAGAACCCCCCTATGTATCAGGTAACCCTTAGTTGGTGGTTTGGATTTCTGTTTTCGGGGCTCAAGCCCTTGATTCTTGTACAAGCTTTATATCACTACGTTTTAAATTATATATTAGAGGGATGTTTATTCTGGGCCGGGTTTAAGGGGCGCCACGAGGAAGTCCGACACGTTCGGGGTCCAACCCCCTATTTTGACATAGTACCAAGAAATACCCTTCCACATGGTTGCGGAACATTGGGGGTGTGGGGCCAGGTTCTTCTCTGATGAGGAAAATGAAGAAAGCCAGACTGAGGCACCACCAGCGGCCAGCTCTTCCTCTGCCCCGAGCGCAGCAGCCGTCCGGGCTGCGCGGCCCGGGGCTTGGACACGTGGGTTCCACCAACGGTCTTGGGAAACCTACTTGGTTGGTCTGGGAGGAATCGCCAAGTGGTTAGCTTTGTATATCAGCTACGCTTGTCGCTTGCTCGCTGGTGCATGCTCGTGACTCGGAAACGGCGGTTTTCTTTCAACGCTCACTGATTTACGTCGGCGGGGTTTTAGTTTTGGCATGCACTTCTTTCCAGAACCCCCCCAAAATAAGACGAATCAGAATACACTGTAAAACACTGGGAATGTTCAACATGTCAATTGCATATTCGCAAGGGCGGCAAGGCAGCCGGCTACCTTGTTCTTCTTTGGTACCACCCAAGGTCCATAGTAGCCTTCCCTAGCACACATCGGAGCCATGCCCTTGAAGACTCCCATCTTCCGGGGTTTCCCATTGGTGTCCCTGTCATGGTACTGAGATGGTCTACGACTTAGCCAATAGGCTATTTGCCTGATTTTATTGTACTTACAACCATGGCTTTCGCGTAATTTGTGCAGGAATTTGCAAAGGTACTGCTATTTGTGGCAGATTATACATTTTTTTTTGCGCGTCGCAATGGCTGTCCACGGGATGCATGGCTGCCTGTGTCGTACATGCTGGCACATATGTTAACGTGCCCGTTCACGCGCTGCATGATTACTTGCGTACATGCTCGTCCACGCGCTACATGCGCACATGCTGGCACACAGGTAAACGTGCCGTCCAGAAAAGCGGATCGAAACCTGCGTTTCGGGCTCATGGCCAAAAACAAAGCGGGAGTTTGCACGCAAAAGCATGGAATGAATGCGTGGAAGGAAAAAGCTTCAAACACGCAGGGTTTTTGAGAGTCCGCATGGGAAGGGGAACAAGGACAACGAACAAGTAGCCAAAAGTAGGGTTTGGGCGGCGGGTCAGCCGGCTGGCAAGAACGACTACCAGTTGTTGATCCCTTTTTGTTGGGGAGACCTACCGTGGTACAGCTTGGTCGAGGAAATTAGAAGCCTGTTGAGAACTTCCTGCGCCACATGAGGATAGCACTCACTAACGTGGAATTCTATGGTTGTCAAGGGGTTCTTTTTTTGGGGGGAGGGCCTTGTTTGCCATGGGATAGAACCTCCTGCGAGCCTCAGATTTTAGAAACCTGGAACAACCCCCAGACTCCGGGGTCAAGAAACGCCCTGTTCAGCGCACAGGCTGGGGAGGCGGTTTCATGTCCACGTCTAGCATGGAAACCCTTCCGACACGGACTCGCATCCATTGCCACACCAACATGGAAGTTCCTATCAACTCTCCCTCCAGCATTTTCATTGCACCACTG